ACAGGCATAGGTGATAATCGTGAGTGCCAAACAGCAACATTGTATCTCAAATGCCTCTGTCTGAACAAAACGTACTGTAACATTTAAACAACTGGAGCAGCAGAAGCAAACAATGGTGGTAAAGTAAATGTACATTGTACCCTGGCCAGCCACAATATGCAGCTCCCTCCAGGGAAGATTTCATTGCAGTATGCTAATAATTTCTAAATTGTGAATGACATGCTTTAAGGTTCAAGACAACCTAAAATCATAGGTCTACGATTCTAGTATACCAAGCACAGTATCAATAGTGCATAAATTTGATTTTATTAGGAACCATATAATACTATACAGCACGTGTACTATACTTAAAAGAATCTCATTTATTACTCGCAAAAAAATCTAACCTTGCAAAAACTACAATGTGCAAAAACGAGAATTAAAGAGGGATAAAATAAACAAAGGCCGCAGCACCAAGTCCAGGAACCACTGCTTATCGCCTAAGACTATAAGGCTAACAATTCACTGCTTTTGTTACGGAGAGTGATATTCATCAAAATCTCATGCACTGAACATTATAAATTATGAACACAGGATAAGTATACTAATAGATTTGAATAAAAATGTGATAAAAGATCAAGTGCTGTTCACTGACTGTCTGTACCACACCAACTGAACAATTTAACATTTGTCATATATAACAATACTTTGTATTTTGCCAGTTGTAAGAGCAAAATTCACTTTTTAAGGCAAAAATTATGAAAAATTAATTTTAATTTCAACTTACCCTATTAAAAAAACAAAACCAAATAAGCTATCAAAGAAGGAGATTGACTTGACTTTGATTATTCGAAGTGCAACAAATTGGGAACGTTTGACAATTGGAGATGCAAGTTTTTGTGAGGCACGCCGTTCAATTCTTATTAACTAGCTTTATACGGCGTGTCAAAATTAATCTAAAACTAAAAAAAAGTAGCCAATTAATAGAGAGACCAAATTATTATAAGCCACATATTAAGCATTTTATTCAGCAAGAATTTGCTGTACACACATTCAAAGCAGTGGTTGTTAACCCTGGGGAAATCAGAGAATGACGTATGCAGGTTACCAATCAGTCCAAAAACTAGGCTCAACCAGGCCTAATTATTATGCTAACAGCCAATTTATCCTTCTCCATCAGCAGTGAGGTTGGTAGAACATCTGCATGCACTAAACTGCCAGGTCTAGGGTTAAAATGCACTGACATGCTCACAATGGTTTAGGATTAAAACACGTACTTCTAAAAATCTGCACCATCTTTGCCCATTTCTGGATATGATGCACTATCTGGCCCTGTTAATTGATGTTCACAAATGAAGTTAATCTTCAGGCACTAAGAATGACCAAAACGCTGCAATTTTATACCAGATCTACAAGACCAAGCTTTTTTCAAATTCTAGTAGTGAGGCCAAAATCCACTTGCCGTCATGGGTGATATTTAAAAAAAAAAATAAAAAAAAACACAAAACACTGCAAAGTCAATGACAATGAAAACTGCTTAACACCAGTCTAAAATGAGTGCTGAGAGCCACTTTAGTATGCAAATGAAGCACTGAAAAGCTTAATAGTACACACTAATCAACTTTAGAATCTATTTGAAAGAGATTAATGAAAAGAAAAAAAAAACGACATTCACGTTTAATCTTATTTTATAACATTACAGGCCTGAACTTCACAAGAGGCTAAACATTTAATTTGGTGAATAAAACAGACTGAGACGACAAATGTGAATGACACCCCCCCCCCCCCAACTCTCTTCAAGGAGTGCAGCCGTTTTTTGATCTAAGGAAAAGAAAATTAAGAAAATCATATTTAATAAGAAAGATCAAATGGCTGACACAAAACAAGCAGCCAGCCCCGCAGTGCTGTTCTCACCTTCCTCTGAGGGAGTTCCACATAAGATGAGATTACATACTGATATTACATAATACAACCTGGAGGTGTTGTCAATGGGAACTAAAGCATAACTTTGGTCATTTAGGGGCGGTGGCTGGAATTTGATGACGGGAGAGGAAAGCTAGAATCCAGGTAAGATTTCCTTATGGGGACAGGCAGTGACTGCTGATCTGAAGTCAACAGAGGAATACAACTGGCACTCTCACCAGGTTCGCAAGATCATTATAATGTCGCTCATAGAAAAGACTTTGATTATGAGACGACACGCCACTGTCATGCCAGACAAAATGTGAAGCATCAAGACACAACCGTAGCAGCCCATTCAAATGACACCTCAGTGCTAGAGCTGTTTGAAATGCATGGAGGACCACAACCAATAAAATGACAAGGGCATGATGTTATCATCCAATTACTCTTAAAAATACTTCCACCACAACATGCAAATGTGTAATTGTGCATTACTGAAGCTGTTCATTTAAAAAAAAAATATCAGAGTAACACCTTTTTAAAATCAGATACAGACGCTCCTCTACTTACGAACTTTCAACTTACGAACTTTCAGACATACGAACAAAGAGGACTGTGAGTCCAAATTGTGTTTCTTTGGGGTCCCATTTTCTGTCCACACATTAATTTTTTTTTCTGCGCATCAAATCCCCCTAGTACGATTTCTGGCCACTACTCCCACCATGCAGCAGCGTAGCGTGCGTACTCCCAGCATCCTAGTTCTTTGTACTTGCGTATACCCTTAAAACGATGTTGAATAACGACTTACGAACAGTTACAAACGGCCATTTGGAACGTAACTCATTCGTAAGTAAAGGAGCGTCTGAATCTGTCATGTTTATGCTGTACGGTACAAAAACCAAATGCTAAGTAGCAAATATGAATATTGTTCTGAGACTTATTTGTTTACCAGATACACAAATTGAATAAGAAAAGTTCAAATTATGTGAAATTTACCTAACAAGGCACAACACAGACTAACAGACATTACTTGATAAAAGTATTGACAACTTTTCAAGTTAACCTCTCACAGAACTAAAAACTGTGAGCAAAGTACAACAGAGCAACAAAATACATAGGCCTACAGAAATGTTTAAGGCACTTAGAATGTCAATCTGAGAATGCCCTCAATGGTCAGGTCTAAACGTCTAGACATAATTTGTTCTACAGAATGTTCATTTGGGATGACTTCCAAAATGCACAAAAATGTAATCACTCCAAACTTGCACAGCATACTCAAAAACAAACCAGAATCAGCAACAAAAGGGGGCAAACATTACATACTTTAAGATGGAAATCATAGACACTGATTTTCACAGAAATGTAATATGAGGACAATCATATACTAAACAAGACAGGCGAAGCTTTTTAAAAATAGACAGACTACAGTCCCAGGTAAAGAAAGGTATAGAGTAATCCATGAGTCGTACTCAACTACTATAAGGCAGAAGGGTTCTGATTATTACAAATGAGTTTCAGAACCTAGTGTGAATACGACAAACCAAACCAAGTATGCCTGAGGGCTCTCAGAATGGGGTACACTTCCCTAAATCTCTCATTAGCAGCTTTTGGGAAACTTTTGTGAAACGATGGTTACTGAAAATCAAGCAGGAGAAAGTGCATAACGTCAGCGACGAGCGAATCGAAAATCACCACTCCTACAATATGACCTTACATAATGTGAATTGAAATATGCACCTTACTCCACCAATAATATACTTTTTTATTTATAGGTGAAGCATGCATATGTTGGAAAGCACGTGGTGCAACCGAAGGTGCATCGTGTATGTGACTGCCCATTCTGAGATGCTCCCACATTGCCTAAAAGCCTTCAGTGTGATCTGTACGTTCAGGGCACAAGGAGGGTCGAAACTACCTGGTGAAAAAAAAACAGCAAAAGCATGCAAACTCTACATCTGGGTACACACTCAAATACCATACCATGCCATTCTGAATTTGAGCACAGAACTATCAAGTGACTAGAGAAAGCAAACTTAACGGGGCTTATATTCATAACCAGCTGATTACTTTTTATCTGTTTCAACAGTGAAAACTATCACAACAAAAACAACAAAGAAAAAAATACATACTAACTTAAATTCAAAGCCAAATTTCGTTATACTGGTTTAAGTTCAAGAATGAGTGTGTTGCAAGACTATTTGTAAGCTATTACTGTGATTAAGGAGGAATCTTGTGGATTTGTATTTTAAGTGTTTTAAATTTAAATAATAATAATAACTTGCCATGGGTGATAAACTGACAGAAAAGTTAGACCAGTGCTACGCGGTTATATAATGTATGATCCCGCTGAGAGTATCAAACACAGCCGCATTAACTGGGAATGTTTTTGTTTTACTGTTATGGCGGTTTCATTTGATGCTTGCACATAAACAGCAATGAAAGCTGGGGTTATACATGCAGGGCATATAAGCCGCTGGCATCTTATTTTCACAGCTGCGGGGAGTTTGACCACTAGCTGCTGTTTATTCGCTACTCGCTTGCGTAACAATAGCTGACGCTCCACAGCGTTTAGCTATTAATCGTATACGTATTACTTGCACTTCAAACAGCATATTCAGACACGCTTTTTAATTTAACAGAACAATGACTCCATTATATTACACTGAATCCCATATTAACTTTAACAAGGCGACAGGGCAGGGATGAACAGTGCAGGTCCCGCCCCCTAAACAGGGTAAAGACAATGTAAAGTTTTAATCCTAAATTTAGAATAGATCTTCGCTGAAAAAGTATGAAAAGTGAATATTTTGTACATTTCTACGTGTCTTCGCAAAGGTCTTTACATAAAGGCCGCCTTAATACCTTATCTCAATGATGTAGTTGGTCGCAAATATCATGAACTGTCAAAGAACTTATTCCTGCATTACTACCGACAATATCACCATCTGTCGTTTTTAAAAAGCTAATGGAGAAATACATATTGACATATTGGAATAAGTTTAACTTGAAGGCGAACGTTTTCTTCCTGCCGCAAAAGGCAAGACGACTTTCAAAAACACCGCCCAGAGAATCCTTCATGGACTGTAAAGCATGTGCGGCAGAAACTTTTAAAAACTTACCCTTTTCTCGCAATGGAGTATTCACCTCCTCATCTCTGCTAACTTGCGTGATTACTGATGAGGACGTGTGGTCCATTAGCTCCAAAAATCCGTATAAGTGCAGCGTAAAGTTTTTTTCTCTCTCGTTATGATGATATTGATACTTAGGTGTTTACGATTAAAAATGATATTATTTGCAAAATGATTAACATTCACATCAGTTGATTAAAAGCATTATGTATGCGGAAATATACATATAAAACCACTACGCTTAAAATTATGAAAATGTAGAAATATTAAAAATAATAAAAAATGAAAAGAGGAGTTTCTAGTGGATAAGTTTGTTACAACATGGAGTTCAGCTCGGCTCTCAAATTCAAGATACAAACATGGAACTTGACCGTTTCAAGGCTTCCCCTCCCTCTTAAAGTGGTAATGTTTCGTATATTTCAAGCTTCCGCCTATGAACAAATACTCTGAAATATAATTACAGAAATGCATACTAGAAATATTTAAATCATTTTAAAATACCATAAAATTAATAACAAAGAACACACAAGGTTATTGAAAATGGATAATATTATATTAGCGTCACATTTCAACTTAAAATCGAAACCTAATTTTGAAGTTTAAAATTTTGAATAAATGCGAATTTCCTTGTCACAGACTTGTCTGCATTAAAATAAAACACTAGTCTTTTGTCGTCTAAATTCCCACCTACAACTTAACATATTTTAAACAAGTATTATAGTTGCTTGCTCTATAACTATAAATAGCCCCCTTCCCCGCTCCTCTAATTTGAATGTGGTGTTGCGGAGTCTCGCTTTTTACACCCCAGTTGTCTTGAAATGCTTACGGACCGCGTCGATCTGGTGAGAATAATGAATAAATGCTGAAGAAGCATGCAGAGTACGCCGACGACAGGAAGCCAGGCACAATGTGGCTATTCAGAGCCACCTTTCATCCTAAGATACACTAAGGAATATCGGGGTCCTGTCCATACATCGCTGGGATGCAAACCTTAAAACATGTTCACGGTAGTCCTAAAGGTTTACTAGTTGAAGTAAATTATTGTATCTTTTACCAAGAAGGAATTGAGTATTTTAATATAAAATTTTATTTTCAAGTAAATTTCATAAGCCATTTAGGCCTATATATTTCGTATAAAATTATTTTAATTCTAAGCGTCAATATAAAAAAATCCAGTCAGGCTAAAACGTTACATGATTGGTAAACCGGTATTGTTGTCACAAAATAAAACGCATATTTACGCGCCAGACAATCGAGTCCAAGCTTTCTTTAAGAGGTAAGCCTTTGGTGACGGTGGGGCCCACTCCACCGACTATTTATGGCGGCGTTTCTGCTATACGAATTATGAACAGATCCCATTACTGCTGTATTTAGAGACGTCAGCCATGTCGTTCCTTAACTTTCATACTATATAAATTTTACATTACGTTAGCCAAGACAGTCGTTTGCACTTAACGCGTCGCCCATTTAAGATTTGTAAAATCCTGGATTCAAACAAGTTTTAAAATACATCTCTATCATCGTTCTGAGCTCATACTTTCGGTTGTAGGAATGCAATGATTTCGCATTAATTAAGGAATATTAATCGACGTTTGTTAGTGAGTTCAAACGAGGGTTTCTTCGAACGTAAGTTTTGTGTTTTTTAATCGTTGCTGCAACTTCAGATTAAAGTTTGGGTAAAGTTCGTTCAAAACTATTTTTCTGCCTGCCAAGAAGCCAGGGGAGCCTTGAAACAGTCCAAAAGAGAAAGCAGGTTAGGGAGAGTCACTAAAGTTCTCGCGCTCTGTGCAATTAATTACCTTGCTAGGGTAATTAGTATTCCTCGCCTAACAAACCAGTAAACTGTAAAAACTAAGGACACAAAAGAACTAAAGAAAATAAGCAATTAATTTATTAAGGAGGCATAAATGGGCACACATATGAATGGCTATTTTTCGACATTCAGTCCTCCATTGCAACATAATTTACGTAAATCGCCTTGGAAAGTTCTTTGCCGTTTTCGTCCATCGAGGTTTCCTTGCTGCAAACTATCGAAGCAAAGTTCGTGCTATATCTTGCGCAGTGTTAGAAGTGAACATTGTACAATGATTTTTTTTACATTTTGTAATTTGCAATATCTAACATTACAACTTGTAACTTGCAATATCTAATATTACGAAAAAGAAAAACTACCATATGTAAATGTAAAGCATCATACAAATAAATGCAGAGTACTCATTGAAAGACAGTGGTGAAAACTGAAGACATCGAAGTTTTTATTGGAAACCTTTCAGAACAATGATGAGCAGGCACGCGTATTCATCCTTTTTAATAAGATTTTTTATTCTTCAGAATGAAAGCAATTTGGAATCTTTATGGATCAGAGATGGAAGACTGCCAATTTTGCAGACATGGTTAATTGTGGCATGAGTTTTATTTTGAGATTTAGTTTTCTGGTGACATTAATTTAGCATATTTTTGAGATTTGAGAGTCACATATTTTTGCTTTAGGTTAGATTCCTTTTCTGCTTGTTATTGGGCATTTGCTTTTACTACTGCTAAAAATATCATTTGGGGAAGGTTTATTCATGTTGAAAAACCTCTCCATGCAGGAGGAAAACACACGTGCACCAACATCCATGGCCACAATGTACTGACTGCAGCTTGAGCCACGATGTTATTAGGACCGTTTGTTTTCTCAGTTGTCATGCTTTTGAGCCACACTGGAATTAAATTAGTAATTTCACAAAATTGTAAAAGATTCCACAGTTGTTGAATCAGATTAATAAATTGCAATGCAAACCACAAGAAAATAAACAGCTTACATACTGTTGTAAACAGATTTACAGAGTGGACAATGCCATTCAGATTGGAGATCTAAAATGACCAAGTCTGACACTTGTGAGGCAGATATCTATTTTTTCCAATAAATAGGTTTTCTGCTGACACGTTGCATTGTGAAATGTGCCTCCTGCCTTCTGGCCTTCCTTGGCTCTGAGAAGCGCCTTTTACCAACACCACGCATGGGCCAGTGCAGCCAAGGTTGCCTGTGAACCAGTGTCAGCACACAGTGCACAGAATGATTTGGGAGTGTGTCAAGGAACCAGTTATTCTGCTTTATTATTTGCTGTGGCTGTCTAATGCTCATCACATTTCAGTTCAGACTTCAGCAGCAGACATTCATCCTTGGAATAAATGTCCTTATTGAAAAAAAAATCTATATATGTACAGCAGGGGTGGGGAACCTGTTACATGGAGGGTCAGTATGAGAGCAGGTTTTTGTCATGACCTGTCAATCAGCAAATGTGTGGATCTCCAGGACTGGAGTTGAGAATCACTGTTTTGTTATTGCCTGATGGAGAGGTCACCCCAAAAACCCCCACCCACACCGGCCCTTCATGGATCAGGTTCCTTATCCCTGATGTAGGGGGTTGACTTTTGTAATACAAGTAAATTCTGAAATGTCTTGATAAAAAAATATTTGTATTGAATGGCATGAAATTTCTTGCAGACTGAATGTAATTCAATTTTGCATACTGCCCTGCGATGGGCTGGCCCCCTATCCAGGATTGTTCCCTGCCTCGTGCCCATTGCTTCCGGGATAGGCTCCGGACCCAGTAGGATAAGCGGGTTGGATAATGGATGAATGGATGGATGGATGGTTAGCATGTGCCTGGTGGATATGGTATCTATGTGTCACTTTATTACACAAAAAAGTACCTGTTTCATGCTTGAACACAAATATCTCTGGAAACTTTTAGCATTTTATTAACACGAGGTGCCATCACTAATTTCCAGTTACACAAGAATGTTTTTTCATATGAATCTCTATTACACATTGCCTTTCATGTGTATCATGTTGTTTTCCTCAAGAATTGAAATTAAAATAATTATTGCTTCAATAATTAAAATGTAATTTAATTTGATATCTTGCTGCTTCTAATTATGACTGTTTTTGTAAAACAGGTAAAGATGTAGAAACCTGGATTTTTTTCTGTTGTTAACCATGGTTCCTAGAACTGAAATAAATAAAAACTTCAAGCAGTTTCTACAACATGTGACATTGCTTTATCATCCTTTAACTACAATTTGCTAAGAAAAAAAAAACTAGTGTTTTGCTTTATCTGAACAATGCCAGTCTTACAACACATGCTATATTAGACCATTTGCAAAAAAAAAACACAAACCCATACCTGTTGGTTTGTTACAAACAAGTTATCTGTCAGATGCTGAATTTTAAAAATACTTTAGACACTAATTGTAGAATGGCTATGGAAAGACATGGGCTAGACTATTGTGTAGCATAAAAGCACGGCACTTTCCAAAGTGAATTCTAACTTGTATTCTGAACAAAACTTGTGAATGCTTCAATGCCTGCAGCTCAAAAACATACTCAAATTACACAATATTATATCTATGGGGCATATCTGGTGGAAATGGCTTAGAGACAAGCAAAATTAAAATTCTGCCCTATACTTTGGACCTCCACAATGAGTTACATCCATTTCTTTATTGGGGCTACCAAACACACACAATTTTCTCACCACAAATTACAAAAGTATCATATACGATATATTCATATCTACATTATAGCTGCCATTGCTCTTAAATGACCACCTGTGTAGAATATATCGTTTTTTTCCCCCTCTTTGCTGACTAGTTTTCATAAACATCTTGCCAGAATATAATTTCCTTGGAACATTTTTGCAAAATTTCATTGCATGATTTTAAATATCATCATTTATCTTTACAATCAAGTTCTGCTCATTGCATTCAGGGTGCTGTCATGATGGGATTTTGACAAACAGACATTGTTCAAGATGCTCTTTATTAAGCTCTACAAGATAGAAGTAAATGCAGCCTTAAATAATTTTCAACACAAATTTCAGGAGGATTCTGCCACAAAGGTAGGACTTCCAAATGTGAGATCGGCTACAGTTCAAATGTCAGTCCTGGGATCTACATAGCAAAGCTGTAACTGCACATCAGCAGTCATGTTCCACAGTGCCAAAGTGGGATTCACCTCAGGAAGTGCCCAGTCTGTCCTTGTGCAGGGCTTGCAGACCTAACCAGACATTCGTAAAGTAGGCTACTTTATGGACTGATGGCATTTGCATTGTGGTGCACTGGAAACACCAAGTGTTCTCATAATGTCATGCATCGTAACATGACGTTGTACGATTATTCCCTTAGCCACATAATTGCAGATAAATGTAAAGAGACCCGGCTTTTTAACATTCACTTATCCTGTTTTGTCAATATTCTCATATTAAAAGTCCAAAAAAAAAAAACAATCCAAACTCATGGATTTCTCATGCTCCGTATCACCTGATTGAGTCACGACTTCTGCTTTATTCTGATAATTATTCTGCAAAAATAACTACCAGTAATAAAAGGGGTTTCTTGGGTTCACAAAAGCTAGAAGTAAAAGATATACACCACATTTCTCCACAATTTCTCAAGTTCCAAGCTTGTTCTTGGGAAATACCACAAAATTACACTTTTACATGACTTCTTTTTTTGATATTAAAACTAAATCTCTGAGTCTTAGACAGTTGAGCTTCAGTAGAAAATACAGTTTGTCTACTTAAACCCAATGGATCTGTAGTCCCCAGCCAGACAGACATAACCTATTGCCAGAGACTAATGAAGAAGCTTTAAAAAAACTCTTAAGTTCAAGGGGAGCACTGGAACTACGGTAATAGCTCCTGGGCTGAGAAGAAACCACCAAGCATGCTCTGTGAGACAGTCCACAGGATTTTCATTTGAAGTCCACTCTGATGTTGCCTTGTCTCTCTGGTGAAATCAGAGCGGCTGATTCTTGGCTCCAGGCCAGTGCTAGATTTCTGCAGCTGTACAGTTGTCCCACTGTAGCCTTGCCTTGTGGGTGGTTAGACTCTTGTCCCCAACCCCAAAGAGATGGAATGTGCCACCTCTCTCTCAACCCTGGAATGCTCTTCTTCAGCCACTCCCCATGCTTAATTTCCAGACTCCACTCACTGGGTGACCGGCGCTGGGGGCATGCTGGGTTTGGTGGGGGTGCCAGGAGTGCTCTGGTAGGAGCGCAGAAGGACCTTGTGCTTGATGGCCACCTCTGACCTTCTCCGCTGCTGTTCTACCAGAAACTCCTTAAGTCGCGTTGTGGTAAAGGTGAGTGTCTGACGGCGCAGCCTCATCAGGTAGGCATCCTGTAGCCAGGAATTGTTGAAGCAGTCCTTAATAGTTGGACGTGCCCTGGAACACAACACAGAAATAAACAGTTATCACACTGCAACAAATATTGTCATCACGTATCATTTTTGAAAGAGATAGGATGAAGCTGACTGTTGTACACAATATTAATGAATCAGGATTCACCATGGATAACTACACAGGATCTTCTTAAGGAACAATGAGGCACTCTGGGATACGTTTTGGTAGAGCTTGGAGAGGTCAAATTTTGCTGCCTGTATCTTGGCTTCAGTATCTGCTGGGTTGGCCTCCTGGAACGGCAGTCTCCCACTCAGCCTAAGCACAAATTAAAATATCATACTTAGACTTTCATCAAAAGAGGTGGACTCCTCTCTTAAACTGTGTGCAGTGGTTAATGTAATTTAAATTCCAGCATAAAGAGCTAAATCTCTTGAATATATTTTTAAAGACCTTTCAAAACCTTCTGTTATTATTCATTTTGATTGGCTGAAATTTTAATTAAATATTAATGAGAGGATGATACTCACATGATGTACGTCAGGACACCTACGCTCCAGATGTCTGTTGGGGGGCCCACTACATCCCCTTTCACCATTTCAGGAGCTTTCAGAGCAAGAGGATAAGGGTATTTTGGGAGGGTATGTGAACATACGGCATACAGAACCCCCCCCACCCCCCCACAGAGCAGCAGAAATAACTTTTGACAATTCATTTATAGTTTAAAAATTTCAGTATGACAGGGTATCTGGCTGCTAACTTAACCAGCTAGCTCCTGTCTGTTTTACAAGAAAAGGAGGGAAATATTAAAACCAGTATAAAGGACTATAATGTTACAGAATGCAACCAGAGGTCTTTCTTCTGATTTTATTTCCATTGCTCTTTTGTGCCCCCCTATTGAAATGGTACCCTAGGCGATCGCCGCCGATAGCGAGAGTCAGCCCAGGCCTAAACTATATTGCAAACATACTCCCAGCAATTGCTAAAATAAAAAAAATGCCTTTGTTGAGATAGCTCACTGATTAATTGTAATCCAGGTACAGCTATGTTCACATTGTTTGTTTGCATAAAGGCCATGTCATATATACAGAACTATGACAGGTTTTTCATTAGTCGTTCCTGAAATTAAGTCATGGTGCAATGCATTCACTGTGTGCTTCTCAGAATTGTGGGGCCCTTAGGAACCTATTTTGTATGGATCAATGTTGCCACCAAGCAGCATTTCACAAATGGATTGCTTATTGCTGACACTCCTTTTGCAATAAAAACGACAAGCATATTATAGGTGTGAAAGTGCTACTCACACATAAACTCCAGCATTCCCTGGCCCTGGTTGTATGGCTTGAGGAACAACGGGTTGAAGTTTTGTGCACTACCAAAGTCAATTATTTTAATGATGTTATTGTAGGTGACCATGACGTTGTCAGGCTTAATATCCAAGTGCAGGATACGGCGGCCATGCAGATAATCCAGGCCAAGTAAGATCTGCGCAATATAATTGACAACGTCATCCTCGGAGTATCGAAACCTGGGGAAGATGAGCAGACGTTGAGCTCCATGATGATCTGCTGCGTCCCATTGTCACACAAACAAAATGTTTTAAATAACTTTACTGGAAAAACAAAGAAATAATAAGCACTGATTTCAGCGGACAGTGAAGAAATAATTATAAGGCATATTTGAAGACTGATGTAGCCTAGGAATAGATTGATACGAGATTGTAATCCAAATTCATACAAACACATCAATGCACAGACCTGTCAACGAGACTGTAGAGCATCTCCTTGCCTGCACAGTATTCAGAGATGAGCACCAAGTAGCGAGGTGTCACGTAAGCCTCGTGCAGAGCCATGACCTTCTCATGATGGAGTGCCTTCAGGATGTCATACTCTTTTAGCACGTCCTGTTTGCTTTCCGGCTCATATGGTACAATCTTGGCCATGAAGAGCTTTCCTGTGGCATTCTCCTTACACTCTCTGATCACACCAAAACGCCCCCTATTCAACAGACACCGACTCTGTTAGCAGATGTGGAATTCTTCGACAACTTGACGGCAAGCTGAGACAAGCTCAGTAATGGCGATACATGTGTGTGTAATGTAATTCAACGCTTCATTTCTTACCGGGCTTTCTCATCCATAAAAGTGTACGGTTTCTGTGGGACTCCTTGACGTAAGGTCGATTCACCAGCCTTGCCCAAAGGGGTCCTGCGCCCAGAAGGGGTCAAGCGCCCGGACGGTGCCGTAAGTCCGCTTGGGGTCATTCTAGAGGGCGTGTTCATGCCCTCGCCAACAGGACTCAGGCTGGTCACCAGCACCACAGGGGTTGAGAGGGACTGAGTGGGTGTGGGAGGGCTGACTTGAGCTGTGGTGACTGGGACGTACAGGGGGACGGAGAAAATGGGTTTTCCAATAGTGGGGGGAGGGGACACCAGCGGAGGTGGGGAGATGGGAGGAGTCTGAGACGCTGGAGAAACAATATTGGGAGGGCTTTTTGGTTTGGGTAAGACTGTAGGAGGTGCAAGCTTGGGAGGCGTTGCAGGGGAAGATGTGACACTGATGTTAAGAGTGGTCTTGGCTTTTGGTGGAGTGGATGTCACTGACTGGGGAGTCTGGATCTCTTCAATAACACGATGAGAAGGGACAGGATGGGCGGGAGGGGGTAGAGGGGTGACCACAGACAGGGATTTATTAGGAGAATGAGCAGGTAAAGCATGTGTGGAGGTGGAAGCAGCAGCAGCTGTGGATGGAGATGGGACATGGACAGGTGGAGCGGTCTGGGGTGGTGATGATGGCTTGACAGTGGCTACAGTGGCAGGTTTACTTGGCAAGACAGTGGAACCAGGCTTGATGGGAGGCACAGTCACTGAGGAAGTCACGACCGAAGTGGAGGGGACAGTCTTCATCTCAGCAGCAGGGGCTGTGAAATGAAAATGGTATGGTCTTTTTGCCCTTAGAGCTAAGTCTGTCGTGTGAACATTTTTGAGTGAAGACATGAAACTTTATGAAGCAAAACAAAGAGAGCAAGCACACTTGACCACTCTACACATCATTACCCCATCCCCATCCCTGATTTGTACCTGTAGAATCAAGACACACGGGCTCTGAGCAGTTACTGTAGGGCCCTTGGCCGGCTTTGTTGACACAGGCCACCCTGAACCTATAGGTGCCCCCTGTTGGCAGGTCTGTAACACTGCAGTAACAATCAGCCAGACCTGTAGCTACGAAGAGCCAGTTTTCTTCACCTAGGGAGAAAATGTATGTCTTTAGGTTCATCAAGTAACACATACTGTACTGATAAAAACAGCATATTTGGTAGTCCATGCTTGATATTCCTACGTGGAACCCCCAACAAGCCACTTTTTTACATGCTATAATGTTCAATTAAATGTTAACTATCCTTTCAGTTAAATCAGGATAATAAAAGTCTTCTGAATAGGACAAGCGGTTACAGAAAATGGATGGATGATTCTGAAAGTAGACTGGGTTGTAATGTCTTGTAGTTCACAATATATCCATAAGATGGCAGTAGGGGGTTGATTATGTTCCAAAGCAATACTGCACTTTTTTTCAAATAAACTGGAACTGCAGTATTAAAACTATACAGGATATACAAAACTGCAAAAGTCATAATCAGAATTGTCCATAATTGTTATTGCTTTAATTTATATCCGTCGGGTATCATAATAATTATTATTATTTTTTTATTTCAGGCATGAACAGATGGTGAAATCAGATGGCAATGCACAGGGTCATTGCACACATTTTAATGATAACTGAAGGAATCAAAATAGAGGCGAAAACAGACAGCTAAACATAAGGACACGGTATGAGGGTGGGGTAGCTGGCACGGCAACAGTGCAGGACCAGACTGGCAAATTGCAATGAATAGTCTGACTCATTTTTAATCTGCTTATTAAAGCAACTCTAATTTACTCCAGACATAGTTGTGCAGGTTCATACATGAAATCACTGAATACCACTATTAGAAATATATACAACAGTTTTTTTTGTTCGATACTTGTTTTATCATGTACTTCAGATATAATATGTAATATGTGACATTATAGGGAGGAAATGCAGAACAATCACTTCTTGAAAAGTTCCAGGCAAATAAAAGCAAAGAGATGAGTTACAATCCATCTGCATTACACTAGTTGAGATCAATTGAAAAGGCAGCGTCAGACAGAATGGGGTCTTTTCTGACCCCTAACCTGCTGAGCCACACACCACCCTCCGCAGGTAAGGAGCACTCACCCTCTCTCTTCCTTTCAAGGGAGTAGGTGCATGGGGCTGGTGTTGCTGAAGGCTTCCATAAAACAAGGGCTGTGTTCTTGTACTTCTGTGGAACCTCTGGGGTTCCGGGGGCTTCGGGGAGACCTGCACATGGACACATTCATTAGATCAGTGTTTCCCAACCCAGTCCTTGGGAACCCTCAAACGGTCCAGGTTTTTGCTTCCACCCAGATCCCTGCCACACAATCCACATTTCTGCAAAAACATGGACAGCTTAGGGGCAACTAAGGACCAGGCTGACAAACACTACATTAGATATTACAAACACTATAAATTATCATACACTCTGCCACATGAAAAGATCAGTACTGGCGAAAACCAATGTCTTCTAAAAATACGAGATCATACTTGACATTACTAGGAAGAACAGAAAAGACTTCACTCAAATGGTTAGAAACACAATTGAAGTTTGTAAGGTTAAGGACACTTGAACTCCTCACTCCAGGTTTGCTTTGTCTACCTCTTTTGAGGGAGCACTTATATCAGCGACAGGCTGGCAGTGCAGGGGATCGCAGACAGCAAGTGCCTCGTCCATTCTCAAGGCCTAACCCTCCACGGGGAGCACACGCTCTACACACGCTCTACACGTCTTGCACACGCTCTACACACGCCCTACACGTCTATGCGCAGACTCACGGGCAAGGGTCAGGACGCAGCAGCTGGTGACTGAGGCCAGGGGGTTCGAGGCCACACACTCATAGAGGCCAGCATCTTTCCCGCTGGTCTTCATGATCATGAGCAGTTGCCTCCCATCCGGACACGAGATCATGTTCATCCTGGCATCAATCTCGAGTGGCTTCTTGTCTGAAAATACAAGCGCAGTGAAACATGCTGAAGGGGTTTAAACAATTACCCAGTCGATCATGCATAATTTTTGATTGATTTTACTTGTGTAATGTAACAAGCAATTTATTGAGCTACATCCATGATACTTCCAAGCAATACATACTGTATTGCACATAGATTTTTTTTATATTAATCTACATAAAATATACACAATTTGTGTCCATTAAAGTTATTAGTAAAAAGTGATGCGCTCATTGAAAAACCTAAGGTATAAACCTAAATGATAAAGCACACTTAACTGGACATGTCTGTAAGTGTTAAACTATAGGGAACAATGCACACCATATAACTTTCATATTATGTGTTTTTATACATATTATTATATAATTGCGCTGTGTCCACTCACTGCCAGTGACTGTAAAAAAAAGCAATACTTCAAATCTGAAATACACGTTTTAATCATGAAATAAGTGCTATTTTGGAAGGTTACTTTGTCCTTTAATTTTTCTCTTTAATGTTGTTTGTACATTTGGAAAGAAAACCCAATGAATAATAATCACATAATTACATAAAGTGTTTTGTTTTGTTGTTTGTTTTTGTTGAGTAATTCTTTTTGAGTAAATGTTGAACCCTAAACCTAGGTTTCATTTTAATGTATTCCTTTTGTACATTTTTTGAAAAGGCATGACCAGACAGCTCTAGAGCAACTGGGCCTTATGGGTGAAATCACTCAGCCGACCCTGGGATTTGAACCAGCCATGGACTCCCGCTCTGCTTTGTGTTTTGCGGTGAACTGAGGAGATATGAGATCCTACCTTTCATCCAGGTGATACGTGGATGAGGACTGCCTGCAGGAAGGCAGCTGAGGGTGACGGGGTCCCCCTCCAGAAGAACATGGTCTTTGAGTTTAATGTGAAACACTGGGGGGAAATCTGCATGTGGGGAGAAGGTGTCAGAAGAAGATGTCAGAAGCAGTTAAAATGTAGATAAGTAGTGCTCTTCTAGAGGAGTATCATGTGATGGATACTTCCACACAGTTGTGACTGTGATAATACAGAATGTTGCATAGGGATCAGGAAAACAATCCATTTTTGCTGAGTATTTAGAAGATAATATGCATTTCGGTTTCTGAAATGGTATTATTGTCATTGTATGTGTGTAACAACAGAGATGATGAAGTCAAGTACCAGATGCCAGTCTGGTGTACTGTCGACCGCGGAAGGAGCTGCCATCTCTGGCTATTGCAGAGGGTATGTCTGGCTGGGATACAGTCTTGTCTTTGCGGCCCCTGGTCAGGCCCCAACGGTCCCATCTTAACCTACGGTCACTCTCCGGGTCTGGCAAAGACAGGACACGGTTAAGAGAGGCTCACAGAAGCAAGAGAAATGACAGAGACTGGGACACTCGAGTACTGTGAAAAATAACGTCCTACTTACATTTTAATTAATTATTGCCTCATTTTTAAGCATTTTAATTCAAGTGTGTATTTGAGGGAAGTACAAAAAATTAATTTAAATGTTTACTTTTGATAGCTGATTCTGACTGAATGCTGCTTGTGGACTCCAGAGACTCAGTGGATGCAGTTGAAACTGACTGTGATGCCAGAGGGTTCTGGGTGAGGCCTAGCTTCTTCAGGCTAATTCCCTCAGAGCTGGACCGGCGGAGCAGAGAGAGCAAAGGTGTCCGCTTGCTCTCAGACTTCTCCTCAGCCTTCTTCTCCTCTTTCCTCTCTTCTTGTCCTTTCCTTTCTTCAGACTGACTGCGGATCCTCATGGAGATCCCGGCCACTGTGGATTCGATCTTCCGCCGCATATTCAGGATTGGGGACTCGCTTGCTTTTTTGGGCTCCATCACCACCTCTTCCTTTGGAGCCTCAGGTGCACCATCCATCCTGACCATCTCCACATCAGCAGTCACCTTTTCCTGGGATTTGCTGCGGCTGAGAGCCCAGGAAAGACGTCGCCTTGGGCCGCTGGACTCAGTAGCAGGTGCTTCCTCTCTTGACTTTTCCTCCTTTCTCTCGGTAGGTGGGGTTCTCTTCAGACGCATCGAGAGTCTCTTCATAAACCCACGGTCTTTTGAAGCTTCTCTGAGGTCCTGGACAGACTTGGATTTCTCCATCATTATCCTGGATGCTTCGGGTTTGACGACTTGTATGGGAGTGCCTACAGCGCCGGGACGATAGATGTCTTCACCAGATTCAGGAGGCATCGTAGCAGACTTCTCCTCAGATTTTGCCCAGTTCAGGAGCTTAAAGCCGCGTGTCAGAGATGAATCACGTTTTTTGAATCTGGACTCAAAGACCTCCTCTGAGGCAATGTCCTTGATTTCACTAGTAAGAGAAGAAGGATGCACTGGAATATGGGGTGGACTTGGTTCTTTGCTTACATTATCGGTAGAAGCTACTCTAGAGAAAACTGCAGGATGCTGAGATGTTGGGGCAGGCTCTGGCATAGGTGAAGGAGGAATGGGAGTGTAGGTGGCTGTGGTTATAGGCACTGGCGTAGTTGTCGTGACACTTGCTGGCTGTAAAGTTGGGACCATGATTGTTTGAATGGTGCTGGCATAGGCAGACGTTCTCCCATCTGGCAGTGTGACTCGAGTAAGTGAAGGGGGTGTTACATACGTCGGAATGACATTTGGAGATGGTTTCGCTGGCACTGTCAGAGGCGTTACTGTGATGGCACTGGTGACGATGTTAATCTCAGGGGCTATTTTCTGGGTCCTCAGTTCATCGACATATTCTTCATTCTTCTCTTCTTCGGTAGTGCTTTCTTCAATCACACTGCTAGGGGCTACTTCAGAAACAAGTTCATTCTGGGACCCCTTTTCAGATTTACGTGTTTCCTCCTTAGACACGCTCATTTCCTTCTCTGGACAGCCTGGTGCACTCGTGTGGTCCTCTAAATTACTCTCTTTTGACCCATTTTCAAATACTTCCTTTTCTGGCTCATTCTTTTCTTCAACAGTCTCAATTTGCTCCCTGGCATCACTCTCTTGAATTGTTTCCATTTGTTCTGTTGTGGGTGGCTCAGATGAAACCTCCATTGGAGTAACAGGGTGGGAATCCATTTTAACCTGCTCTGTGAGAGCGGACATGGATGCAGCCTCTTGTAACCGACGTTCCTCTATCTGGGCCATGGGTATTTCTAGAGGGGCTCCAGAACGTCGGTGTAGAGGGATGGGCTCAGTATCTCCTTGGCTGAAGGAGGCACTTTTGCGGAGGACCTTGATTTTTGGACTGTCCTCTCTTGCTGTGTCGCTAGAAGCAGCCCGGATCATTGGGGCGCCACCTAAGCGATGTGGGCGTACATAACGTTCTATGGGAATTGTACGTTTTTCGTCACCCACACCTAGTGTCTCCAGCAGGGGGCCTCGTAAGCCACTCATTTTATTGTCCACAGTAACACCTCTGAGAAGCCGCTGCCTCATCAGTTCAAGTTTCAAAGCATAGTCCTCCTTGCTTAGCTTGCCAGCACCCGGACTAGAGCTCCTCCGTGGCAACTCCATAGAAACAGCCTTTTTGAGTTTCTTCATACCATCCTCTGTGGCTCCCTCCGACTCTCCATCCCCGTGTTTGATGTGCAGTAGCAGTGCGCTGTCGGCAGAGCCACCCCTGCGAAGGTACCCTTTTCTACCACTTGAACTACCTTCAGTCTTTTCTGACTCCATGCTCGAACCACGGCGCAGAGGCCTTTTTGACTGTTCTGACCGCTTGATTGTCACTGCCGGCTCCTCATCAGAAGATCCCTTATCTTCTTCCTGTGTTGCCCTTTTCCGCAGTCGCCCCCTGAGGATGGAGGGTTCTCCACCCTCTTTTGCTTTGTCTGCTGGTCCAGTCTCCATAGGTACTGTTCCCTGGCCAGTTAGACCTTCCCCTTCAGTGGTACCATTAGTCCCGCTAGTCACATCATCATCACCCAGAATATCATTCAAAGACATTCTGGATCCAGAGAAGTCCATGGTAAGAGGCATTGGGATGAAAGGAAGTTCATCGATATCCTCGTCTGAGTCCGAGGAGGAGGTGAGTGGTGGTGAGCCCTCTCGGAGGTGTCTAGGAACAGCGATGGAAGTGTGGCTGGAGGAATCGTCCAGTAGCTCTGGAATAGACCTCATCACCATTTTGGATTTATAGCTGATAAGGGACCTCTGTAAAGCAGCGAGATCGAAGATCATGAAACTTGTGAAAACACTCAAATATATACAAATTTAACAACCTAAAGCACCTGCTTGCTGCTGCTGAGCAACCACACTCACGTTTTCTTCAGGAAATACACTTATTTAGTTGGAATTCAATTTTTATACTATGATACAAGCACAGATATTTTTACGAGGTGGGTCTTACCTGCCACCTTCTTCGAGATAAAAACTGCTTAATAGCTTCTGTGCTTATACTCTTCTCCTGTGCCAAGGTCTAAGTGAAAGGAGAATATATAGAGATCAATAACACAAATCTGGCAATAAGCTGGACCAAACCTTACCGTATTGCCAGGACAGAAATAAGAAGAATGTAGAACTACAATATGACAACTTTCATGAATTGGTGCAATAGTTCATCTTTGCTTGTGTTGTCTTTTTTATTATTTAAGGCCTACCTTAAACCACGGATGACGAAGGCACTCATTAACATCAGGCCTCCTAGAAAATACACAAAAACATGGTCACATGGTATATATAATTGCATATAAACCAAAATAAAAGAATAAATATTTTTTCTACATGATGATAATGTATAAGGCAACCCTTGGCTCAGATTTGAAGGTTTGGTACATCTGAAATAGTTTTTTGGATGGATGTTTTTGTTTTTTTCTGTATATGTGTATATAGAGGTGTTTATATAAGATATAGTATTTTGTCAAGAAATAAAACAGTGGATAAGAGACCAGGTTTCAGTCATAACTCAGTTATGATAAAAAAAAAATACAGTTACAGTGCTTTGCTTTTGTATGGCATTATTGATGCCTACATGTTCTGTATTTCTAAGGATAGTAAGTGTAAAAATTTTGTAAGTATATGAAAAATAGATAATATGAAAAAATAGCATTTTTTGCATTTTCAACTCACAATCTGTCCACCACCAGCAGCTTAATGACGAAACTCTTGGCCTCCCGGCTAAGGTCTGCAAACATGCTCTCTTCAAAAGCGACATTGTAGCTTCGGATGTTCAGCACGGTGCTGCGGTCATTCTCTCCAGCAAAGGGTGACACTCCGGTGAGGCTGAAGAACAACCCCAAGCTTTAATCACCTCTCTGCAGTCTGACCTTGTAGCCTTTCTGCCAGGACGTTTATCGGTAGCTGTAAAAAGCTTTTTCTCTTGTAAGATATTCTCTTACATTTCCATGAATGTATATGATTGCAGACTCAAAGTTTTCTCCTGAACAGCTATCACTACTATATTTCAATAATTATACGGACAGCATCACAACCAAATTGCAAAACACATTGTTTAAACATACCACAGATAAGTTATGACTCCAATTGCCCTGTAAAGAGAAAGTAAGAGTTAATATATACATATATATTTTCATATTTTATCCATAGTAACCACGTTTTTACTTTGCATCCAAGAAACCGGGAAGCTTACCATATATCCGTTGCCTTGGAGACAGGAGTCTGATTAACAATTTCCGGGGCGACGAATTCGGGTGTGCCATATTTGCAGTATCTCGGCTCATCTGGTGTTTGTTCCATGGCATTCCCAAAGTCGCAGATCCGGATTCGGTCACCAGTGTGGTTTGCCATCAGTATGTTCTCGGGCTATAATGAACCACAGGGCGCGTCATTAATAAAGCTAGTTCTATGCTTGAAGAACGAATGACACATGTCGTAGACACATTGTCTACCTTGATATCAAGATGTAGAATTTTGTTCTGGTGCAGGTAGCTAACTCCCTCCAGCATCTGCTTCACAGTTGAATGAATCTGTAAAGAGATCATGTTGAGATGCATCTTATTCCATGGGATTTCTAAATGCGCACAGATGACTGAGTCAGTGCTTCCCATGAAGAGTTAGAACAGGTTACTTGCCTCAGACTGTGTCACTGTGGACTTCTTTGCCAGTCGTTCCAGAAACTCCTCATGACATCTTCATTCCCAAGTCAAGGAGAGAATACCTCCGACTATGGAGCCATAGAGCTTCCAGAAACGCTTAGAAATCAATAGTCTTTCAGATAGCCATTACCTCCAAAGACATTTCAAAAGCACATCCTTGAAAGTGGTTATGAACTTGTTAATCAAAGTAGAGGCTGCTGAAAGGCCTTCAACACGCTCCAGATGCTGGGTCTCCAATGATGTATGGAGTACTGCCGCTTTAACACTCACAATGTGAGACCAGAAGGATGACTGACAAGCATGGGCGTCGCCGCCACTGAATCAGCGGGGGACGTGTCCCCCTCAGATTTCATAATTATTTGTTCGGAACCCCCACATTTAACACAAAATATTAGTTGTATTCCAGTGTGTCCCCCCCACATTCAAAATGCTTCTGACGCCCCTGCTTACAAGGATACAGATCAGTGATGATTATGACGACATTCTTCTTCTCAAAGGCATCATGGAAGTAAACAATCCTCTCATGGTCCAGCTGAGAGAGTATTTTCATTTCCCTCAAAGCCGAGGCCTTTCTCTTTGCGCGTGCAGAGATGAATTTTGCTGCGTACTCCACCTTGCTCCCTTTCTGCGTTACTCGCTTCACATAGGAGAACGTGCCCCTGGAGCACAGACACATACAGGTACTGCTAACGAAATGAAGTTCAGTCTCCTAATGTTATTTGGCCTAACCCAGAATAATGCATGTCTCTTTTCCGCCTTCCAACTAATCTCGGACAAAACCGCTTAAATGTAAGGAGTAAAACAAGAGCATAACATTACATTTTTTAAAAATGGGTTCACATTGTGCAAAATATTAGGGACCTTTGTGAACCACAGATTTCAAGCAACTTTGTTACATTACATCATAAGTGAAATTAATCTCCAAAAAGCCTATTGTTTCACACTGTAAAAAAAAACAGATAAGGAACATATCGCATAGATTTGCTATTTATTGGCCCATTATCAGGACAAACATACTCATTGTCACACTCTGTGGTGACTCAATACTGCATTGGGCGTCATAGATGAGTAACAGTTGAACCCAGCAACCCAGCAGACGACAGTGTAAGTGGAGGTAGGTGGTGTGACATGGGCATTATCTGTGTAGGGCAGCAACATCGCCGCATACTGAGCGAAGATAATCATTCCCAGGGCTGGGCTGCAGGAGGACGTGCTTATTTGTTTCTGTACACTGTGTTTACCTCTTGAATGTGAAGTGTCACGCTAACCATATTCACACAGCTTGTAATTGGTATGTTTATATGGGTGCGGAGTGCAGTGCAGCAGGGTAAGATGCTGGGTCTGTGATTGGAAGGTCGCCAGATCAAATGCTGTGGTCAACAAAATAATTTCACCATTAGACTCGTAATTGCTCCTGGGTTTGGCTGACTCTGCTTTCACAACTGCATGTCCTTTTGGATAACAGCATCCGATAATAAATGTAACATAAATTGATTTGATATAATTGGTTTTGCTGTACTATCTGGTACTTCTGTGCACATTATAAATGTAGAAAGGGTTCATGGTATTATCATAAAGCGTTCTCATTTGGTCTCTTCAGTGATCATTCAGAACAAGAAACAAATTTATTTTTGTATAGCGCATTATCACAACATTACATCGTCTCAAAGCGCTTTACAGCATCCCCACCCAAAGCCCCCAGTGAGTAAGCCATAGGCGACAGTGGCAAGGAAAAACTCCCTAGAAGGAAGAAACCTTGGTATGGACCAGACTCAATGGGGGAGCCCATCCTCCAGGGGCCGGTAGGGAGAGTCAAACACAGTAAAACTGCTCTATACTGTCAGAAAATGTCCTACACACAATAGCTGCAGTTGTTTTCATTTACGGTGGGATAGAGTTTCCGCAATGATTAGAAACAGAGACAATGATGAAATTTCCCTTCAAGTCTGGCAGGCAAGTGCTTGCCGGTCCCATTTAAAAAAAACCCAAAAAAACCCCGTATTCAGTAATGACTCACCGGCCGATCTCCTTATGTACGTCATAGTAATCGGTCAGTCTGCGCATCTTCCTGAGAATCGTTTCTTCATCCTCCCTCAGCTCCTCTTTTTCCTGTTTTGCTGCAGGGCCACAGATTCATTAAGTAGGAAGCCGCTCATTGGCCGACCACCGGGAACCACTGAGCATTACGGTATCTGCGCCTTGTATGGATTTTAAAACCACAGACTCCCTCATTCATTTTTAATAATCTTCCTCTTCCTTTGAATAATTATAACAGTGAGATTTAATTGCAGTCTTTGTATCAGCCACATAACAATGGCTCTGTAGAGATACACATTCCCACTAATGTGTCAGTTACCAAAGGAGCATGACAAGAAAATGAATACTTATCATATACCAAGGCACATCTCATCACTGACACTGAAATATAATAATATCATTATTGTCTCGGTATTATATTTGTATCAATACTCTAATACACTTCCTCTCTTTCAATTTCTGCTTTATTCAAAATATTCCATTTCTGCCACTTGAGTAATTTCTAGCTGTCCTAAATTGCTATTAATTACAGTTTCAGAAAATAGCTTCTTTATTAAAAATAAATCTAACAATCATCTGTTGTTTTGTGATTTAAATATTTTTTTGCAAGACAACAGTTTAGAACACGAAAGGGTAAAAGTATCTTATCATCCTAACAAGGCCTACAAAAAGCTATTGCCAATAGGAAGCAGTAAATGCAGGCTGCTTAACATGCCATTTCACAATTTTAATTTTGGAATCATTCCTAATCAGCTTACAGCACATAGAAAAACTACAGTAATACATTATCATAAAAAACTACGGTGATTACATATCAGAAAAACAAAACCAAGACAAATGCTTCTAATGGTGTTTACATATGAAATTTGCTTTACTGCAACCCACCCAACTTCTAAGAAGTTCAGATGCGCATATAATATATATATATATATATATATATATATATATATACACACACACACACACACACACACACACACAGAGTTATGCACAAAAGTTTGGGCACCCCTGGGCAAATCATACATTTTCTAGATTTCCTAATGAAAACGTGAACACAGCATCTACATAGAAAACATAAACCTTAAATAAGGCACATTTAAGCTAATTTTGATGAACAGTTTCCATTTATTTACTATAGCAAAAAAAAACATTTTCATCTTGCGAGTTTCCAACTGACCCTTTACTGGGGTTTTGTTTTTTTAACAAGGTCTCACATCTTCATCGACTGGTTCGGCTTTAATCTAAGTGAGTTGATTACAATTCCAGGCCATGATAAATTCTCTGAGTCATCGCACGACTCAGAATGTTGTGCTTGTGCTTAGCAGATATGAGCTGCTCCAAGCAGCTTTCTGAACATCAGAAAATAAAAAATAATTGACTGTTACAAAGTAGGCGAAGGGTATGAAAAGATATGTAAATGCTTCCTGGTTGCCATTTCCCCTGCTTGCAACATCATAAGAGTTGGAAGTTAAGGGTAAGAACTGACAGACCAAGAAATATCTCTGAGAGAGCTGATGGTGATGGATCAGGAAGATGAAACAAACCCATGGTGGGTTTCACTGGACAGGATCTGCTGGAAGGTTTAGCCAACACTGGGATAGGGATGCATTGGTCTCCTGTGCAGCATTTGTTGCATAAATATGAAAGAATCATCAGAAAGAAACCTGCGATCTTATCACAAAAGACAGAGTCTGATGTATGCAAAACCCCAGGGCTTTTTGGGACCAAATGCTGTCTTGTGAGGAAGTTAAAACTGAATTATTTGGCTACAATCGGCGAAAGTGTGTTTGGAGAAGCATTACAAGACAAGAACACCTTGCCAACTGTTAAGTATGGGGGTGGATGTATTGTGCTGTAGGGTTGTTTGGCAGACAGTTGCACAGGAATTATTGCACGGCTAGAAGGAAGAATGGATTCTGCACAGCATCAATAAATTCTGGAATCTAATGTCCCGCAGTCTGTGATGAAGCTGAAAAGAGGTTGGACATTACAGCAAGAAAGTAATGCAAAACATACCGAAAAAATCAACCACAAACTACTTTACGTCCCCAGACCTGAAAACCTCAAATGTGCAGCAAATTCTAGACGACCTAAGAATATTTCTGAACTTGAAGTATTCTGTAAGGGACAAGGAAAAAGTTCCTAAAGCAAGAATAGAAAGATTCTTAGCTGGGTACAGGAAACATTTGGAGGCTGGGAATTTTGCCAAAGGCACTGACTGGAATGTTGCCAGAACTTTTGCACCTGCCACATTTAATGCAGGCTTTCTTCACACTGTTAAAATAAGCAAATATAAGGTGACTGTACATTAAAAATGTCTGAGCTGCTATTTTCCATGCAGATTTTGTGTTCACATTGTTTTTCTTAGGAAATCAACCAAACGTGCAACTTGGCCAGGGATACCCAAACATTTGCATATAACTGTGTAATAGATGCTTTCTGTTTTTCTGTTTGCATTGATCACATACTCATCTCCTATGATGAGAATTTTATGTCACTGTAGGTACCTTTGTAGACTAATATAATTTTACCTGTGTGTACAGTAAGCTCAGCCTTGCAGGTAACACTTCCAGCAAGATTCTTAGCTGTGCAGGTGTAAACCCCCGAATCCTCTTCTTGAGTGTTGAGTATAACGAGGGAGCACTCATTGTCATCGTATACAAAGGTGAAGTGGCTGCTTTCTGATAGCAAGGTGTCATTCTGGAATTAACAAACAAAGCAATGAAATGTGCATAATTGTTTTTGTTTCAACCAAGAATTTGTTTTTTGATTACAAGAAAGCAAGAACAGTGTATTTCCTTTTGTGGTTATATTTCAGCATAGTATCAGTGGTGAGAACTTTAGATATGGAGTCTTTATAGGAATTACATAAGCACTGGTGTGCGCGAGAACACAAACCGGCAAATCAGAAGATCCAGCCCAAAGCCAGAGCGCCAGGCATTACCTAATACCCAAACTGTTTGCATCTGCACGCTTGTAACAGAACACCCACTCAATGTAGCTGGCAGAAAATGATTCTTGGAGCAAAAACGGCAAACAACAGCTAGGTAGAGTTTAAAGCTAATCCGCCAATGCAGATACAGTACAATATAAGACTTATCATCTTAGTCAAGGATAAATGGGGGAATAAAATGAGCTCGACATCAGCAGGATTTTTATGTTTTTCTCTCTTGGAAGGAGCCCAGAGTCTCTAGACCTTGACAAGCTAAAGTGAACGGCCTGATGGAGCAGATAGCTAAAGAGTGTGTGGGGGAGGTAGCTGGTGGGGGCATTAGTGCTGCAGGACATCACACTATCCCTGAACTGGTAGCTTGTGTACTTGTGGAGCAGTCTTGTAGGGCTGAGCCTGCTGAAGCCAGCAGAAGAGGAACGCTAGTATGAGGAAGGGAAGAGACCTAAGTCTGGTTCCGCCATACCCTGAATTAGCCTGAATTTGGCCTGGAGGACAGTTTTCTGCTCTCACCATGACGATTCTAATACCTGAATAAAGAATTCATAGGACTGTTCTTTTATTCATTAAACACATAGGCAGGTGTGTTTGTCTTCCATATTTGAAAGTCACAATTGCCAAACATAATTTTTTCAAAGAATTCCAGCTGTCTCTGCTTTAATAATGAAGTTATTGTCAGGTATATAATAAACTGACTCTCGCGAGCCTCTCAGTCACCAATAAAATGAGTGTTTACATATCATAGACACTGAAATGTACCTTGTACCACATAATGTCCGGGACAGGCTTCCCCTCAACGACTACTGCAAATCGCGGCGTCTCTCCCACACAAACGTCCATATCTTCCATGATAGTCTCAAAAGTAGGTGGCGCTTTAGGGAAATCACAACATAAATACATAAAATAACACAGCACATGCTTTAAAAGAGGAACAAAATTAGCTATGTAAATTTCTATTCCAGCATAAATTTACATTCACCTGCCATTTCAAGTGTTAGGATGCAGGAGTCGCTGCCAAATTTGTTGCTGGCTGTGCAGATAATCTGGCCAACATCACTGCTTTTCACCCTGATGATCCGCAGTGCGTGTTGATTGTCATCTGGCATACTCGTCTCAAAAATGCCAGGTTTGTTCACTATGAATGTATTTCCCCTGAAAAAAAAGATGAAGGCAGTTGATTAGTTCCAGTAATTTATATGAGCTTGCCAAGGCCTTAAGCAATTTAGATGATAAAACTTGGCAGACTGTTTGACTTGCCTTTTCCATGTCACTGTGGCTTGGACATAGTTCAGGGTAATAGGGATACTTAACGATTGGTTTTCAACCACATACACGATATCTGGCTTGTCAGTAATGACTGGAGCCTCTTGGAGATATGGACCTGTGAGCAGATAGATGACAAGTTGTATAATTTCTTTGCAAATTCTTTTTTTCCTGAATGTGCGGAACTTCCAAATCTATTCCTCTGTACCTCTGTCCACAAGCTGCACGGGTTCTGTAGGTGGAGATGGTTTGCTGAAGACCTTGTTGGTCATTGACAAGACCCTAAAGAAGTAGCGAACTCCCTTGGATAGTGAGGTTACCGTGTAGGAAGTTTGCTTCAAATTGGACACGATGATAGTCCATTGGATTGAACCCAGCGCTTGCTGCTGGACAGCATACATCAAAGAGCTGGCATCTGCAAACAGAATTGCTCAACGTACCATCAAAAAATACATTTCCAGAAATTGACCTCCTAAGTTGTTTTGCCTAAACAGTAAAGCTAATTTAGCAAAAGCAGGCAAAGTTAGCAATTTGCAACCACTTAAAATGTATAGGGTTTGGAGTGTAATGTCAATATTGCTATAAATCCTAACTCGTTTAAGGTCAACTGGAGAAGCACATAAAACCACATCTGAAAAGCAATTAAGGGGACGTCATTATATCCTTGATATATTACCCCATACTGTATTTTCGAAATGGAATGACGTCATTTTTTTTTTTTTTTTTAAGTAGCGAACTTGCATACAATACCTGCCAAGGCCTGCTGCACGTGAAAAAAACACCAGGAAACATTAGAAATATAAAGCATAATATGTCACCTGAGTTTAAATCTATATGATATATAATACCTAAAGAAGGATCAAGCCTTCTGGGTTTTGTCCAGCTCAGGGAAATGGTCTTTCCGGTAATTGCCTCTATCACCGGAGGGCCCTCTGGTGGGTCTGGAAGAATATCTACCAAAAGTAGGAATATATTTCTTTAAGATCACTGACAACTGTAAGCAAGTGCAATTTTTATATAAAAAGCTTATATACAAAGGGTACAAACAAAATAATAGAAACACCTTTGATTTGTAGTAAGTGGCACAATAACAAATGCAGCTACAATGATGAGTCATATTAGGTTGAATGCCAATTAGCTGAATGTGTCAGCTGGGAAAGACTTCTGACGATCAGCACTTTGCATGGGCTTAGAAAGCAACCTGAGGCAATTAATTGAAATCCAAAGAGTCTAAAGACTCTGAAAGGCCTGGATTGCAGGTGCTTTAGTTACAAAAACTCAAATCGCAAAACCATGACAGCTTATTCCAAATAAGGAGGCACTGTATGAGCTAAAGCTGATGAAGCTCATTGCTAGGGATGGATATGCTGCTATACACCACTAGAGTACCAAAACTTGTCAAAGAACTGAATCAGCACCATGACCCAGTCCTGACAAAACTGAATGTCCCATCATGATTTTCCCATATTAATTGATGAAATCGCACCCATATAAACACCTGAACAAACCGGTTTAATGAAAACCAAGATTAAGTCAAACACCTTCCATGAGCTCCCCAGTCACAAGATCTTGGCATCTTTGACACTTAATAGGAATTTCTGCAACACACAATATGAAGCTGATGTCTACCGCCTTCTTCCCTCAAAGACCTGGAGAGTTTCCTTCTTAAAGAAAGGTCTGTTAACCCCCTGCACACAATTCAGGACTTCAGAACGTTCAGTAATGGACATCATATTTGTATGCTGACCATTATTTTGTTTTTGCTTTTTTTGGATTTTAATTGGACTTCAAAGAGTAGTAAGCGTACTGTGACATTTTTTTGTTTCTAATTTTGGTGTTTGAACTGTGCAGTTTATGTTTGTATTTTGGTCTGTGACAGACAGACCCTGAGACTGACTTCTTACCTGTCACATACAGGTGAGCATAGCAGGCAGCCTTGCCCACTTTGTTGGAGATGACACTCTTGTAGACCCCGGCGTGGGCATGGCAGACGGAGCGGATCACCAGGCTGTGAATGTCCCGGTCTGCATGAGAAGGAAAGAAGAGAACCGCAGATCAATTCCACGGAGACGTTTCCACCCATCACTCTCTGTCACCGTCGCGCACCGATCACATTTCGAAAGTGCAAGAAGTGAGGCGTTCTTTCTTGCAGTTCCGCGCTGACAGCCTGGCCCTATAACATTTATAGCAGTGTCAGGAAAGGTTGCCTGTGAAGACACGTGTTTGCGAGACAAGGTGGTAATGCAATAAGCTGCTCCAAAAATAAAGATGAGGAAAGTCCCATGCAGGACGTACGCTGCACCATCTTCCTGTCGTCTGTGCTGTTGATCTTGCGGCCGTTGTGGAACCAGGTGATGCTGGGATATGGCAGGCCGGCCACTCGACACTTCAGCACGGCCTCCTTGCCCTCCACCACGTCCAGGTCATACAGTGGCTTAATAAAATCTGGCATAGTGAATTGCTCCACCTCGCTCTCTGCCACCTCTGGTTCCTCAGGAATGGAAGGCATTTTTTCAAGCTTCGCCCTGTGAGGCACACAGTGGAAAAAAAACAGAGGGAGACTCGTCAGAGTAAATAAAGGGTGTTTTTTTTTTTTTAGTTAATCTTTGTTGAATCTTATTTGCTCATGTTTGTTTGATGAAAAGTGACAATTCAATTATGATGGTGCCCAAACAAACTCTCAGCACAAAACCAAAAGAAAAAAAATAATCAAAGCTGGCATCTCGATAGATTGCTGCAAAAATGCAGACAGGAGTAAACATTGGAACAAAAACGAGGATGAAAATGAAGAGATTAATTGAAGGCCAAATGATGGTGGATGATGGCTTGCGTACATTTGTGAGGAGACGGCAGTCCGGGGCTCCTGGACGTATAGGTCGGCGGAGCACTCCGCTGTGCCATGCTGGTTACGGGCGACGACCGTGTAGAAGCCCTCGTCTTCGCTGCTGACGTGTGTGATCACCAGCATGTGCCGTCCACCTTCCTTCAGGATGCGTATGTTCTCGTTGTTGTCCAGTGCGCGGTCTGTGGAAGTGGGAGAGATTTCAGCTGGGCAGCCACCATACCACAAATGGTCTATGTCCATGTGTGAGTATATCCCAGTATGTCATTATCATTGTTTAAATGTCTTTTATATTTATATCCTATGTATCACTGTTTCTTGCACTGTCATCAATGACATCATAATGTCATCTCAGTATATGACCCATAGATCAAATAGCTGAGGATGACGATATAGAGTTTGACACGACTCTTATGAGACATTTCCATGATCTGCACACAGGCATTATGGGTTCCCCACAATAACATGGATGACAGGAGGAAACATCTTCAGAGTATCATTTTTACAAAGGAAAAGTTCAACTGCTGTCCATGTACCAGCAAGTGGTATCCAAGAAGACCATGGTAATTTGTTACTGTGACTCAGGTTACTGTGATTTACCCATGTGGTACTCTGCTGCCTCAGTCTGCAGCTAAGTGGCTCCTGGTCCAGAAAGTTTGAAAACCACTGTGTCAGAAATAATAAAAGAGAATAAAAGAAGCTTACCAAAATGACTCCAGCTGACTTGAGGGGGGGGCGTCCCGCTGACTTTGCAGTCGAAGCGAGCACTGCGGCCCTCGATTACCTCCAGGACGTCCAGTTTTCGAGTGAAAAGCGGCTCGATGGAGGGCATTACTTTAAGCATGGCTGTGGAGGTCAGTTCCTCTAAAAAGACACAAAAGCAGGAACTAAATGTGAAAGAATTGGGACAAGCTATTAATCTGCAGTTCTACACACATGAGGGCCTGCCTCTGATGCTATATGGCACGTAGAAGGTTAATGTCTCAGATCACTTCCCACTGATGATGATGGAGGCAGCACAGCTTGTAACTTACTGATGACGAGCTTCATACAGTCGTGCTATTTTAAAGTATGACAAATCTGCAGTGCTGTGTGGCTCTAGTGGCATCATCAACCCCAAGCACCATATGTGCAAAATAGTCGCTACAGCTGCCTATTTGTTCCACATCTCCACCTCAGCAGACATTTTGCTTGTATGTGAGGGTGGAAGCTAAACTATGTCTCTGCTTTGATGCCATTAGCAAATCAGTGGTCCAGAAAAAGTCTGGTACATTGGTTCAGTGAGAGGCATCAATACAGATGCCTCACACCTTCAGAACTGATGCTTTGAATAGAATAATGAGGCTTTATTCATCCCAGTGGGAAAACTGTCTTTTCACCTATTCCATTTTGCTATCCACACACACACACACACACACACACAACACATATACAGACGAGAGCAGCCTTCTGATCATGGGCACTAATCCACACATCTTTATCCATTCTACACGTTGCTGGGTCTCCTATGTAAGCTCCAGTTTCCTCCCAAAGACATGCAGTTAGGTGAATTGACAGTTCTCTGAATTGCCACAGTGTATGTGCACTGTCATCCTGTCCAGGATGTTCTCCGGCCTTGCACACATATTCTGCTGGAAATAGACTCCAGCCCCCCCCCCCCCATCCCTTCTAAAACCCTGCACTGGATGGTTAGAAGATGCAGAAAAAGTCTAGGGTGACAAAACTTTGAATGACAACAATGAGTCACGACCTTATCTGCAGAACTGCACCTCCTACAGTACCATGTCCCTTTCACCGCAATGGGAAATGCCAGCTTTTACTTGGTCCAGGGAATTTGTGTCCCTTACCTATAATCAGCCTCCTAGCATTAGAGTTCTCTTAGAAATGTCAGAAGCAAATACTGAGCAAGTGCCAACCCTACTTGGCTTCTAATAAAAAAGTGTGACATGCTTGGTATCGCTATTGGATTTCTGCATTGGAAGATATTTTATTACTCCATAATCATCAGCTTTGCTTTTTCATTATGCTATTGGACGCATTTGCCAATGCATGTTTTAGTGAGTTATTTCTAGGACAGGGACTAACCTTTGGCTGTACTCAGCTTGCACGTGTAGGTGCCACTGTCATCCTCGTGCACCGAGTTGAGCAGCAGCCTGCACTTTCTGCCATCAAAATGCATCTTGCAGTTGAGCAGTGCCGGCTGGATCAGTTTGCCGTCTGCAAGCCAGTCTACGTCCACGTCCTGCGGCCCAGTCATGTGACACTCGAAGAGCGCAGTCTCTCCTGCACTCACCGTCACGTCACTCACATTCCGGGTAATTGCCAGAACTGGCTCCATTGGGGGCACTAAATGGAATAATAGGGGACACAACTGTTTTTAAAGGACAATTTAGGTGATTATAAATTCCACAATGGAAATCTAAACCTGCGGTATGTGTCCCCAAAGTTTCAGAAAGGTTCTCCATGCCATAAAGTACGGCAGCGTTACTCATGCATTCTAATCTCCCAGTGGTCAATATAACCCTTAAGTGCTTTTATGCATCTCTAAATTACATCCCCATTAAAACTGAAATAAATCTAAAATAGAAGAAATCCATCCTTTATCTTGCCAGAAGCAAAGGCAGGCAACATTGCAAAGAATACCAGACAGCAGTGGAGCTAAAAAGAATTTCCCTTGAAAGACTTTTGATCAAGATAATCCACAGAGAGATACGACTGGGCCTTCCTGAGATTGTTCATTTCCATTTACGCTAATTTGCTTAATCTCACTTACACCAGGAAGTTTTATGGGCTGCTAGTGAGGACTCAGTCAGCAGAAGATCAAAAACTCTGAAGGTGTCAGGGACATCAGAGAAAGATGTGAAAAGATTTCTTCCATAATTTAAATAAATATGAGTCCTTTTATGTTTTTTTTGGGGGGGGGGGTGAATTAGCAGTGCAGTTGATTAATGGGTTTAATAATACCGCCCATAAGGCACATACGAGTGTCAGGTCTGTCAAAGCTGACAAGCCAAGCATGTTCAGTCCTCCTGTAAGTCAACTCACAAATAGTCTTTGTTTTGACACCTTATTATACTTCCTGGCTCTATGTCTTATTTACGATGACATGCGTTAATCCCATCAGGGAGTTTTATCGCTGTGTGCTCTCTGCAACAAAGATGGCTGACGTAAACTCTTCAGGAGCACCGATACTTTGTATTTGTCTGTGATCTTGATTATATTAACTGCAAATTGATTAATGATCTCCATTATATTACATCATATTAGCTGGTCCAGCCAGAATGAGCATTAAAATGTTTCAGTTCTTACCTTTAATCTCCAGTTTGCAGTCACACTGCTTAGTGCCGTATTCGTTGATGATTTTACAGGTGTATACACCAGCATCAGACTTCTGTGCTGAAATGATCTTCATCTCAAAGGTCCCACTCTCTGTTTCACGCACTATGTGCCGTGCGGCAGTTTTTATTGTCACCCGGTCCCTCAGCCTGAAGCCAGAGAAAGTCTTTATTTAGGCACATTTAAGACAAGTTTTTCCTCAGAAACAGTACTGAGACAGGCCTAATTTGATAGAGAATCATAGTTTTTTATGCCAAAGTACATGGACATAGGCATCATTGTTTACATTTTTCATGTCTGTATATTCTCCCATTTGCACACTGCCAATCATTGACACTGTACAGTATATACTGCCATTTGCACACTGCCTACCATGTACAACGTATATACTGCCATTCACTGACTGTATTCCATGCACACTGTATATACTGGCATTAGCACACTACCTACTATGCACACTATATATACTGC